TGTTTTGTGTGTAGAGCTAACCTGTTATAACTAAATATCACCAAATGCTTGACTATGACTTTTACAAGAAAGTGCGCTATAGGTAACATAAGGTAGCTAGCCAAATATTGCCACCTTAAGGTTTAAAATTTTTTTGAAAATTTAGTTTTAGAACTTGAAAGCTAAAATTTCGTCCATAGATTAATTAGTAGATACCTAAGTGTTCTTTCTTTAAATAAAAATGAAATTGATAAAAATTTTATATAGTTATAAATCATTTTTACCTTTTACTGAATAATAAAATAAAAATTAAAGAAATTTTTATTTTTATTTCCCGAGCGTAACCTAAGGAAGTATTGTCCAGTCCATCCGGTGACTGGCTACTTTCATATTTTCTCCATGGGTCATAACCCCTATAAGTAGAGTACGAAAAAATGGGTCTGTCTGTTTTCGTCTGTCTGTCTGTCTGTCTGTATCAATTTTTGTTAGGCATTCAATCTCTGAAACCACCGGACCGATTGTTGTCAAATTTTATATGTGTATTAGGAATATCATGTAGATGGTTAAAGATGACGTCATCTTAAAATTGTATAAAATGGTAAAATGGTTTTAAATTGTATAAAATAATATAGTCCTACACTGTACTTTATGAATCCGTGTTGAGTTTTTACCAGAAACGTCCAGAAATCAAAATTTTATTATCGACGTTTTGCACTTTAATTTTAAGTCTGCATAACCGAATGCTTTGATATCTTGCAGATATCATACGGGTGGTAAATTTTTATTTTTTATTTTTTTTAAATAAGATATTTGCTTATCCCCCAAAAAAATTAATGACGTCACCTCAAAATTTTGTCAAATAAATCCTATTTAAAATGTGCAAAATATGAAGAGTCTGTACTTGTGATTTATAATTGCATTCATGATTTTTAGATTAGCTTCTATAGGGTGACTCAAAAAAATTAGTGAATGACTCAATTTATTTAATTTAATTAAATGAGGAACTGCAAAACCGTAAGCTTTGAAATCTTGCAGACGTTTGAAAATTATTATAAAAATGGCAAATGTTTAATCGAAACGTAGGTATACATATCTGTTTATTTCCCCAAAAAATTGATGACGTCAACTCATCAAACAAATTTTGCCGAATAAATCCTAGCTAAAATTTGCTTATACAGGTGGCTCAAAAAAAAATAAATGAGTCAGTTTATTTGATCGATTAAATCAGAAACGACTCACTCCATTTTCTCGCAAATTTGGAAATACAACATTGTCATTATTACTATTACACTGCACCAATCCAAGTTGATATACGTGTCATTGTTGATGTTAATGACGTCATCACAAAATTTTGTAACTCATTTGAAACATCGCATAGCACATTTCTTTAGATCTACTTTAACATTACATATGTAGGTACATATGATTATTTCAATTTATGAGGGTTTTAAAAAAGTAAAACTCCCAAAATCATATTTTACAATTTTTCGCAAATGCTGGATATATTTCTATGTACTTCAGGGGCGAGAGAAACAACCTTCCACCATTTTTTTAATTAAGTTTATGTTTTCGTTAAAATTATTGTTGTTAGAGACTAATTTTTTTTATACTTTACGTTTTTATTTCAAATAAGCAGTTCAATATTTTTTTCACCGTTCCTACTATTACCATGATTCTTCCAATTTATTACCACTGGCAATAATAGGTACACCACGGGTGGCAATATAACACAACTCGAATATGATTCACTGATTTGGTATCCCATCACATACTAATGGTACTTTTGGAAGAATTTCAGTACCTATTTATTCTAGGAACATTCTCAACAGTTAGAATTTTATATGATCTCTTTCACATTTTTATGGACTGTACACTGATAATGAACATAAATGTTACTAGTCATTCACGAACCTTTTATTTAGGCAAGCCAAGAACTAATATATTCACAAAATTGCCAATTAACGATTAACGTATTATGTAAAAACTCGAATTTGCACTGCGGCTATATAAATTTGTTCTCCGATAGTTTTAGTAGGACTATTAAATAATTTTTGTGCAATAACTGATTATTATTCTATTGTTTTTTTGACCTATACTATTTGAGTATTTAATTTATCGTTCGTTCTATTTGTGCTTTTATGCAGTTACTATTTAGGAAGTATTTAAACTGTACAACTAAGTATATGTAACAACTAATTTAAATTTGAAACATATTTTTTTTATATAGGTATGTATAACATTTTTTTAGGTTTTCCTGTATTTGGATTCATCCTATTTAAAAATAGAACATCATTATTATTACTATAGTCTGCCATTTCCATTGAAACACCACTTCTTGTTAATAGCAAATTTGGCAACGTTCATATTCAGACAATTTTCTAACTAAAAGCCGATGTCAGTCAACCGAAACCTGTTACAATTGCTAAATTTTAATCAAAATCAACAGGTGGTGTTTCAATAGAAATGGCAAAGACAATATTAGGTAAATCTAAACCTTTGTACTGATAATTTTAAAATAGGGTGGGAAAAATTTAGTTCCGACGGATTATGATAAGTTTTGCAATTTTGAAGAAATTATGTGCTTCAACAACATTTTACGACCTTTGAAACTGTTAGTTATGTTAATTCTTAAAGCTTTTAATTAACATTTTTTCCAACATTCAAAAATAAAACTTGCCTACTGACTCAGAATTTTGAACTCTAAAGTTGTAATCGTACGTACGCAACAATATTAAAAAATAACATACACTTTGAAAGTCGTTTTCTAGGTCCAATGTAGCACTTCCACTGCTTCCACCTTATCTCAACTACTCTAGCAAGAAGTACAAAGTAAACTAAACTGAAGCACTATTTTTCAGTACTTTAAAATTTATGGCTCAAACCTGAAAGGCCATTTCAAGCCCTAACCCACAAAAGTACAATAACCCCATTAAACTCAAATAAATAAAGTGATCACTTGTTTAACAAATTTCATCACCGCTTTTCCATTAATCATTCAGCTACATATACGATGAAATTAAGATGTTAATGCAGCGTAAAATTAATGACTTTTTAAATGTCCCAGCCGCAAATTTATTGTCCGCTTGAGCGACTGTCTACCAGTCCCCTGTGGTGAGGATTGAGATGTCCGGCAGGTCTCTTCATGCAAAATTGCATCAAACGTAAAGCCGGCCATAAATCAGTAACTTAGGTACAATAAATGTCGGCATTGTGCAATTTGGGTGCACCGCATTGTCACAGACTTGAAATGAAAAAGTCGGACCTGGAGGATTTTTGCACTGGTTTTTGTTTCGACATCACAAAGAAGGTCACAAAAGTAGCAAGAATTTTATCTTTGGCTCGAAAAGAAACGTCAGTCAAGTTTGCATAATTCTGTGTGCGGTAGATTCCACGAAATGGAAAAGGAATTTTCTGTGCTAAAACTGAATTATTCGTGATTGAGAAAACTGAAAGAATTTAGTTTTATTATACGGTTGAATGCAATCATCTTTTAAATAGTTTAATTCTGTTTCAGACTGCGACAAAATTAATTCAATAATTAATTGCCGATTATGTACTTAGTATAAAAAACTTATGTTTGTAATGATTAGTTTCTTCAGTGGTTTGATAAGGATACAAGGTCGTTATATTAAATAATAAAAGTGGTCACATGTTACACTAAAGAACATATAAAATTTCGAATTACCTAGCGTTTAGTTCTTTAAGAAAAATATATTAAGCGTGAACCAAATGTTATAAATTTATGTAAATATTTTTGGAAATTTGTGAAGCCCAAAAGATCTAATACAAACAATATCTCCAATACAATGTTTCACAATAACATTAATAAAGCGGATTTAAGGAATGTCCTGGACATTGAGTTATCCGTTAAGAATTTTGTGCAATAAATTTTTACAGATAGGAGTTGTTCCAAATCTGTGGAAAATTTCGTATATTAAGCCTGTCTACAAATAAAAATCTAAATTATAAGTAAGTAGAAGTGTTTCGCTGTCGTCACCTGTTGCTAAAGTGTTGAATTTTATAATTGACGAACGACATGGTTTTATAAACAAATCTTTTTGTGTTGACTGGTTATGTGTTAACTAGCTTGGAAACAAAGTGGTCGTAAAGCGGATTACGCTTATACTGATCTGTCGAAGGTGTGTGACCAAGTGAATAAAACGACGGAATGATTTTGAATTTAAGTTGGGTATTGAAATCCCCTTTTAGTATGGTCAAGTCGTACCTAACTAGTAGAAAACAGTTTGCAGATATCACTGGAATTAAATTAATCTCAATTCACGTTTTATCAGGTATGCCTCAGGGCTACAAGCTCGGACCATTTTTGTTTCGAACATGATATTAGTAAATGTAACAAAAAAATTTTAAACTGTTCTTATTTACAGACGATTTAAAATTATTTACGAAGTATTCTAAACTAGAAGTTCTAATTTTATGTAGATTGTAGACGATGCAGTAATTGTTTGGTGTTTTCGATGTGGATAATGTAATACTGACTTGAATATTCTTAAGATTTAACTATAACAAGATTATTAGCTGTTTTTTTTTTCCGATAATAAATTACAAAATATAATTCTCATAGTCTTTATATCATTCTTAATTATCCACGAACTTTCTCCCCATGTATCATTTTTAAAAGTATTCGGACGTTAGCAAATAATAAATAAGAAAAAAATAATATAAATAATAAATATTTAATTCGTTCGGATCTGGAATATTGTACCGTCATCTGGTCTCCATTTTATAACCTTCATATTAACATAATTGTGGAGATACAGAAAACATTTATCAAGTTTTTATGTTTTAAATTTAATATTTTTTATTTTGGTGATATTAAAAAAATAGTTTAATTATTACTTTTACGATAATATTTAACAGAAAATCGTTAATAAAGTCAGTAAAAAACACAAGACCTAATACGGAGCTTTGTGAAACTTCCGTCTTTCACATTTTTGCATATAGCGACTGTACTTTTTTTTTATTTCAAGGTAACAGCCCAGGCTGGTTCTGCCGAGACTCACCAAACTGACTCCTCATCCAGGGATACAAAGGACTAGGTAACGCCGCCGCCGTGTTGCCCGGCGGTTGCTGCCCCTGCGTCGGTTGCTGCTGCATGGGCGCCTGCTGATGCGGCGGGCCCTGCTGGTGCATGTTCGCGCCCTGCTGGCCACCGTACATCATGTGCTGCTGTTGGTGGTGCTGCTGGTGGTGCTGCGGATGCTGCTCCTGCATATGGTGGCCCATGTGGTGGTTGTTCATCGACTGCGACGTCTGCAGGGGCGGACTCCCCGTAGGTCCCAGCACACCGTTCTGGGTCACCGCCGCCGCCTGCAGCTTACAACTGGCGTAGACCACGGGCGTCTGGTGTCCATTGGGGGCGGCGTTGCTCCCCATGTGCATGCTGCTGGGGCTGTCCGGCCGGTACTCCTGGTTCCCGTCCATGTGCTGCTGCTGCGCGCCGTAGTAGCCCGCCGCCCGGATGTCCATCCGGTCGTAGGGCGGGAAGCGCGGGTAGGGCATGCCCTGGGGCGGCTGGCCCCCGGATGGAGGGCCGCCATAGTGGTGCGGGGGGATGCCTTGACGGAGGCCCACGACGGACGGATCGCCGCCGCAGGTGTTGGGGTCGGACTGGACGGCCGCTCCGCCCTGGGGCACCTGGACGGCGGCGCCGTAGTGCTGGTGTTGGTGCGGGTGCTCCGCGGAAACTACACCCCCATTTCGCATGTCCGGCATGTAGGAATTGGCGAAGTAAGAACTCATAATTCTTTGATCACAGAATGGGCACTCTAGACACAGTTAAACCGCACTAAAGCACTAAGGACATTGTATCATCGCCACTTTTTTTACACAATTACACTAGTTTTCGCTCACTTGGGATGGCTTCACGAGGTCACGGTGTAGATGGCGGCCACTGCTGACTTCCTCATTGGATGGCGAGAACGACCGTCATAGGGCCCTGGAAGAAGGAACGGTGTTAGTGTGGACATTTCGGGACCTTCATGTCGATCGGGGTTCAAATGGCAAATGACTAAATATTTTGAGCAAAGTACGGACTTCAAATGAGTGACACATGTAAGCTGAGACGGATCATCATTTGGGTTCCACGCTTCATGTAAACACGTGTCCGCGGAATGCGACACTTGCAGCTAGTTAACTGCGTTACGGAATTTTGACGGAACCTTCAAAAATTGTCTACCTGATAAGCTTTGTTGCAGATATTTATTTAATTTTCATACAGAAGCATCGACACACTCGAGTAAATAAACATACCGCTAAAGAAACAAACTATCGCGGAAAGTATGCAAAAACATGTAAGCAAAGGAACGATGTGGAACGAAAATCTTCTAAGAGATACCTTTCAAGCATCAAACTTCTTGAAATAATTATGACATTTTAATATGCCAAAATGCTTTATTTGCATTACTAAAAGTAGTTGCCCTGTTATTGTACGTTATTATTATTAAATATGATGGATTAAATTATTACTTGTTTTTCATAAGAACTAGGTAACTGTAAGATTTTTTTATGGAAAAAATGTGTTCCATGTTTTTTAAAAAAGTGACTATAAACAAATTTTGTTAAAAATGAATAAAATGGCCACATGTAGGTATTCGATTATATTTGTTGTAAAATATTTAAGTAATAAGTAATACAACGGAAACTTCCGGAACAATTGTCCCACATCTAGATCTACCTGCAGAGAAATAGGTGTTACGATTAATTATAAATCGATAAATGCCCTTTTTTAGTGCTCTAACCTTCCCAATGAAAGAATCAAAAGAAGTCTCCTATCATTATTACCCAACCCCATTATCCTTGATATTTTGCATCCGTGACACTTACATGGTCATGATGGAAACACTCCCCAGTTATATTAAAAGGGAAAATGAATGTTTCAAACAATTGTTCATATTGTTATAGTTTATCATCCAATGTATTCTAGAAGTGCACATCTAAAAAAATCGCGACAGGTTGGTCTTAACTAAAGCTTCCATGAAAGGTGTCTATATTACTTGATTTATTTTTCCGAAAAAGGAATATAAAAAAAAACAGTTAGCTTGTAATTTTATAATGAAAGTAAATTAAACTAACTGCTCTTGTCGTTACAAATTAGATTTGTTATAAAAATCGCAGTATCTAGTTGTACACGTTAAACTCTACTGCACATCGACGCCCCCTCCGAGTGTACGTTATGCGGAAAAGTTGATGTCATCTGTTCAAACTACGTAAGTTTTAGTAGGTTGCATTCCGCAACTGCCGCCTCATATGACCCTTAACCCCGTCATCGCTATACTTTTGCGAGTAAGTCTAAGTCATTCCGCGTCAAGAGTATGTCGCAACAAAGTTGGTCGTCCAACTACCGTTAAAGTTTTCTCGCATCAGTCATCATTGTCTTCCCAACAGCCGATAAACAATTCATCACGGCCATTTCATGCGGTCGCTGTGAAACCAGAAAAGAAACTTGAGGTACGTGACATGTCAGTAACACGTGTTTGAAGTACACCCCATGAGCAGCTAACTAGGTGTAGATGTTTCGGTAACTCAACTTGTTTAATGCGGTCGTGTCAAAGGCCAAGTCGTAGTCGCTCTATAAACCGGCTCAAATCTAAACGAGATCTGGATATTCTCATTCTAAGAAGTAGAGTCGTAACGGATGAGAAAACTCCTGAATAACAACCCAAAAAAGAGTTGTCGTTAAAAACGCAACTAATGACCGCCTCGAAAATATTTTCTGCATACCTCGAGGAACAGGTAATTAGATCTACCATATTCAAATTCTCCAGGTTCAGCGGAGCATCTCGGATGTGTTTTAGTAATTGGACTAATAGCAACAAATGAGGTAATTGTATGGCGTAATTGGCATCTGGAGATTTTGCGTGTGCTAATCCATTTACTCGGATGCTCTTAAAAATCGCCCGATACACTTAATTACTGCAGATTAATTACCTCCTCAAGCCGATGTGTTGAGTATCACACATGCTTAATTGCGTTCGGGCTCATTAGCAATCTTATCAATATGAGAACGCGTCAAAAAGGGTCACTTTACGCGGTTATTCTTAGCTTGGAATCCAGCCATCCATGTTTATGGAAAGGTAGAGGGTTTAATAGGAAAACTAATTGCCTCCACCCACAGAATGAAGGTCTCGTCTCCGACATACGATTTGTCAAGTTGAAAGGTTCCGCACACATGCAATTCGTTAACCGCAGCCAGCCAACGTGACGCCGCCATGAAGCTTTGCTTTTTGCGAAAGCTACATTTTTTACCACAGACATGTTTTGATGTACTCCCTGCCTTTGTTTTTTAATGTCACAGATTTATGAGTTGGTTCTGAGAGAGAAAATGCTTGGTAAGTGGATGTGCAAATGAGATTTCAACCACGATCTCGTTGTTTTATTCCAAACCTATTACCATGCTCGCTGTAATTTCAGACACAAAGCGCGATACAACCAGACCCGGAGACACTTTTTAATACATATTTTTCCACATGTTCCATTCAAGGGGAAACTAACGCAAATCGAAAAACAGAAAGCTCCTCTTATGATTATTACGTCATGTAAGAATTACGTCAACGTCTTTTATATTGTCGGCACTGTCGTAATCACAATTTGAACATTTTAGATTTATTCTGGACTCATAGAATTTTGGAAATCAAATTAAACAAATAAAAAAAAGGTATTACGTGGAACGTATCCCTTAAAATTGAATAACAACAATATTAAAACTATAAATAAATGTCAAATTACTAACAGTGACAGATTTCAAAAAATATAAAAACAAGCAACCAATTAATTTTTTAACTTAAATCTAAAAAAATTAATACATAAGCAAAACATTTATTCTAATCCCTAAGACATGTGTTTTTCGCACTTTAAAATATCATGAGTAACGAAAACAAAAAAAAAATGTTTTAAACAGCTTAAACAGTACTTCCCTTGTCCTCTGGAGCGTGACCAATACGCAGGACGTATTTGAGTTTAATTATTTATTTTAATTAATTAAAAACACAACTAACAGATATCTTTATTCATAGACTAAATTTATTGGCTTGAGGTCAAAATCGAATGGACTTTGCGTCGCCGCAATTGAATTTGCCTCATAGTAACACAAATCAGATTATTTATAACTCAGCTACGGTCGCAAATTTCAATTAACGCAACAAGTTAAAACTGGGCCGTAGGTTGATAATAAAGGCACATTTTATTATTCAACAGAAATAAAAGAAATTATATGCGCATGACACATCACAGCTGCTAAATGGTTGGTTTTCAGGATGCTTGACCGTATATTGCTGTCTTTTTTTATTTAAATAAAGACAGATACCAAAGTTTATTGAGACTACCAAGTGATAACGAAAATTTCAAACACTTCACTGAGTATTTTTTAGTCCTAAAAATTTTTGTAAAATTTCTTTTCTTTTTGTAATTACTCATATCCATAAATATGACTAAATCAATGAGCCGAAGATAAAGAAACTTGTCAGTCTAAGCAGTTCAACTGAGAACATTCGGGAATAAAATTTTGAGACGAGGCGACCTCACCAATTATTTGGATGAGATTAACACCTATAAATTTTTGTAAATATTCACTGCTAGTCGTTAAAAATATTCACATTGTAGTTTCTTCAATAAATTATAGAATTAGATTCTGTTGACTTAAATTTTTAGGATAACCCTTAGATATTAAAATAAAATAGTGGTAGATTAAACGACAGACAAAATAACATGTTGAGTTACATGTTTAAAGAGATATTTAATTTATTTAGTTTTATGATGCCCTTATCGTTTATTTTGTGGAGATGATTATTAGATATACAGGGCGAGTATGCGAATATGAAAACAAAATAAGTAATAATAAAAAATCGTCAAAAAAAATTGTTTTTTAATCCATTTGAATTTTTATTTTACTACAAAATTGAGAAAAATTACTTAGCAAAATTCAGTATTTATTTTGATAAGTTTTATTTGTTTTTGTAAAATAATATTTTCTCAAAGCATTTTGTGGACTTTGTTTTCTAAAAAAAATTTTTCCTAAGAAAAATTGCAATAATTTACGAATATTAAATAGTGAATTTAATAAAGCAACGTTTTTAAATTTTTTTGAAATAAAAAAACTGCAAAATCTGAGAAATAAAAAAACCTTAAATGATATTTCTGGAATATAGTTTTTTCCATTGCAAATTTAATATCATTACTTTTAGCTAATAAGTAAAAAAGTTATTCGAGGATTTAGTCGACTCACCCTGTATATTTTTTACATACTCTGGTTGGTCATTACTTAGGCTTTATTTTATTTCTATACGCCTTTTGTAATAAATATTATTATTATTATTTAAAACTCTAGTCTATATTGAAATTCTGATACGATGTTACTACCTTATTCCAATTTCCTTGAAATTCTTTAGCAATGCGCAAAAAATTGCAGTAATGTTACTTTTGACATTAACGTTGTAAGATTTATACAGAGACAAATAGAGCCACGCGCTTTGATGCGGTATCAATTAAATTAAATTAAATTTTAATATACCGAGTGTTTATAAAATTTTTGAACACATAACTTTCAAACATCGACATTTTTTCAAACAGAACATCCTGTATTTTATTACTGACATAATATTAGTAACAAGGCTTCTGTAATACTAGAATTTCAGAAAAAATAGATAAGTACGCTGTTTTCAATATAATTTAGTAGCGAAATTGCTTCATTTACACAGAATCTAAGGAAATATTTTTGAAATTTACTCGAGGGGATAAACAGATACATTTTAGTTGGTGTTGTGTGTTTACTGATAACCCCGATGTAGAAGGTTAAAAACATAAGTAGGTACTATTAAACCCAGATACAGTAAATTGTTACAATATTACTTTTGAGTAAAAACTACTCAACGAAATTTTGAGACGACCTCATGAAAGTTTTGATGGGGTTGAAGACAAAAATTTTTGTTAGTATTTTGCCAT